TGTATTTCACAGACTCACAGAAACACCAAGGCTTGAAAAGACCCATAAGACCATCCAGTCCAACCATTCATCTATCACCAATAGTTCTCACTAAACCATATCCCTCAACACAAAATCCAAACGTTCCTTGAACACCTCCAGAGTCGGTGACTCCATCACCTCCCTGGGCAGACCATTCCAGTGCCTGACCACTCTCAGAAAAGCAGTATTTCCTAACACCCAGCCTGAATCTCCCCTGGCACAGCTTGAAGCCATTCTCTCTGGTCCTATCACTAATGACACGAGAGAAGAGACCGACCCCCAGCTCACTACAACCTCCCTTCAGGAAGTTATAGAGAGCAATGAGGTCTCCCCTGAGCCTCCTCTTCTCCAGACTGAACATTCCCAGCTCCCTCAGCCACTCCTCGTAAGACTTGTGTTCCAGACCCCTCACCAGCTTTGTTGCCCTCCTTTGAACACGTTCCACGGCCTCAATGTCTTTCTTGCAGTGAGGGGCCCAAAACTGGACACAGAACTCAAGGTGTGGCCTCACCAGAGCTGAGTACAGGGGGACAGTCACTTTCCTGTTCCTGCTGGCAACACCATTTCTGATGCAAGTCAGGATGCCACTGGCCTTCTTGGCCACCTGGGCACACTGCTGGCTCATGTTCAGCCGAGCATCAATCAATACCCCCAGGCCCATTTCCTCTACTCAGTCTTCCAGACACTTTGCCTTGCATACACACACACACACAATGTTGGAAAACAGTTTGGACAGAAAGTTTACCATTCTTCTGATCTATCAGAATATTAATGTATGTACAACTACAAAGCTGTGATGATGCACAGTTTGTAACCAACGGGAAGGGATAGGTAAAACATCCTCAAACCTGGCACTTCAGCCCACAATTGACTGTTAATTGCATAGCCTATAAACCAATATTATTCCTCTACAATTATGTCATTATCAACATCTGCACAAGATCTTCAGCTACTGAAAAATCAATTCGGTAATTAATACTGAAAACAAACTCCTCGTTCTAATTTTGTTTACTTTTTTAACTGATGGACAATCAAACCAGCTTTTAGAATATTGACAAATTAATTCAGTAGAAATAAATTACCTGGAATCTTTTCAGAAGAATACTTTAGGATGACATAAATCATTACCTAAAAGTATCTTCTTCTCTTCTTTCCTTAGAAGTCTTAGTAACTAGTTCGACTATTAGTCTCACTCCTCCAGAGAAATTTGCTCAGCCACCCCTAAAAGTATATTCTCAACCTAGACTCTCAGAACCAAAAGCTGTAGCAAAATTCATTAGCACTGTCACATTTAAAAAAATTAAAATACACATTAAAAAATAAGGTATTGCAATACTTCTTACTAAATAAAAATATATTTTCAGCCACTACAGCTAAAAGCCATGTTTTCAGTAACATATGCTATGAGAAGTTTGCATGGACAGCATGAAAAATCCATGGATATAGTTCAAAATTTAAAGATATTACAGCAGTTGATTTCTTTTAATGGAATTGCTAACTATTTTCCTGCTTTGCACAGCATTCATGTTTTCATAGAAATCTATCTACTCCCACTCCAAGCTTTCCTCAAAATATAATGATGGCAAAGCAGAGTTTCTGAGCAGAGGCCTTCTGGCTTTCTGGCATCTTAGGTAAGGAAAGGTTTCATCTTTCTGTAACACAACAAAACACAATTTATCATGCTTTTCTTCTGTCTGTATTTCCTTTTATGAAGAACCCTTACTTAACCATCAAATTTGAAATACCTTATTTACCCTGAAGTAAGGACAAAGAAATGAAAAAACTGTGAACTTAACTCTGCCATGCCCCTTAGCTACTTACACCTTGGCATATTATATATTCTTATTTTCTCTGAACTTCATTTATAGATGAAGGTTATCTAAAGAAAACATATCCTATTGTGAGCCTGCCTTACATCTACTTCGTTGAAGATCAAGTTCTACAAAGCATCAGTATTCAAAAGCAGATGATTACAATAATCTGCCCCTAATGAAAACATGGAACCAATGCTAACATTTTTTAACAACAAACTTTTTAGAATCTTCTACTTTAATTACACAGAATGTATGCAATCATAGGCAGAAAGTAAAACATATTACATTTGCATGAAAGAAATACCTACAACTCATTTGACAGAAAGATTAACCAGATATGTATCTGAAATGAACAGTCATCATACTATTCATTTAGTTTGTTCATTTTACTGTATAGAATGTGCACTGCTTAGCAGAATTTTAGTTGTTCTGTTTCTTTCTTTAAAGGAAAGCTGCCACTAAAATATTTTCCTTTTAAAATGGTTGTCTTGTTTTGCTTTTTGTTCCACAATTAACCTTTGTGCATGCTACTTTATTACCCTAACCACTCACACAGAAGTACCAGTACACTGTGATCACTTCCAAGCAGAGGTTCAAGTGGGGGCTAATGATGTCTTAAACTTTTACAGAGGAAAAATATGTCAGAGTTAGCGGCTGTGGTCTTGTGACACAATCAGAATGAAATGAACCTAACCAAAATGCCCTCAGAGACTTAGCTTCAATAACATTACATGCTGCTGTGAGAGAAAGGACAATCTAAGGTCACTTACTTTTACCTGGACGGTTTAGAAAATGTCATGTTACATACGTTGCTAGGATATCAGATTTCTTTGCTTTTAAAATGTTTGCTTTGACATTTCAATTTCTTATAATAAATGCAGCTCTCTCTATTGAAAGAAATATGAAATGGAAACAAAACCCCCAAACAGTAAGGGCTTGGTAGCATACCAACAGTTCTGAATTCTAGGTGAACAACTTGAGATGCATTGTAATAAAACAATTTCAGGAAGCATATGTCTTTATAATGCTGAATTTTTCTAAGGGACGTAGACAGCAGTGTTAAAATGATACTTTATACCTAAATTCAAAAATTGGATGCACAAAACAAAATGTTGTCAATCTACTAAAATGGAATTCCTATTGACCTAACAGTGCTAGCTCCCTATGGAGATGAAACAAACTATCAAAGCAGATCACAATAAAATAGTGTGACTTCCAATGACTTTTAAATCCCTGTGGACACATGACTATGCTCATTAAGTAACATGCAAATTTTGGAAGGTAACCACTACTTTTAGATTTCCAATTGAGATAATCTTTGTCATGGCTTTTTACACATCGAACTTCGTCAGCTCACTACTGCAGTAGATACTCCATGTGCTACAAAGCAAGGCTTCTGGGGAGTGAAACCTACAATGTACGGTAAGTTTTGAAAATCCTGGCTAAAACTGACTGTTAATCTCACCTAATAATTAAATGACAGATTTAAGAAAAGAATCAAAGTTTCACTATATTCATGCCTATTTATTAAGTGGTGCCTTCTCTAGATGATCACTAGAGGTGGGAGCAAGTTAACAGAACTGCAGTCTATATTTAGACATCGATTCTTCCATTTCATCAGAGACTATATTAAATGTCACATTCTGTTGCACAGTCAATTAGAGAGGTAAACACACACACAAAAAGAGTTTTCCTGCTGGTTTTGTTACCAGCACAGCATGGGATTGAAAAAAGAGATGGTACCCAGCCAGGAAAACAAGTGAGAGGAAGACTACAATAGTGCTGACTTAACTGTCTTTTCAGCCTTGAGTTAAGATGAAATGCAGATATAAACCAGTCAATTTTACATCGTGTGTAACATTAATGACAACTGTGCTTCTCACGAGTTAGTGGCATGAACACACATTTAAGTAAAGGAGATCTATAAAAGTAGCTGAAGTTTTTGCCTGCCACAGTAATAAGCTATAGTGAGGCAAAAAGTAAGAAACCCAGATAATTTTGAACCAAGTATTTGAGAATATAAAATTTTAAAGCAATTCTCAAGAAGACAGAAATATAATCTACAGACAATTCTTCTTTAGCTCTTTTCAAACAACAAAGCAACTATTTTAATCTTGTAGCTTTTCCGGAGATGCAGCAACTACCAATTATTATTAAAATATACACACCTCTTCTAAAAGATGCTTCAATTAATAAATGATAATTTACAACATAGCAAATAAGTATAAGAAAACAAACAGAATAAATCCTACCAGGCATTTGTGTATTTTAATGTACACCCTTCCTATAACACTGCTTAGTATAGTTACAAGGCAATATTTGTCCATTGTTTCTCTTTCTGTTTTTTTTTACTTTAAGCAAAAAGATAGAATGTCAATATCCTCCCTAAAATAAATCAGACTTTCTATTAGGAGAAGGAGGAAGCAAAAGAGTGTTTTGTAACAGAGAGTCCTAAATTCAGTTTAGAACAGAACTGAATGTAAATTTAACATTGCAAAGTTGTGCACAGGCAAGCCAAATCTTTTGTATTGAGCAATGCTAAATCCGGAAGGCAGGTAATTGACTTTCAGCTGTATAACAACAAATTAACTGTACTGCTACTGAATAGACAAAGTTAGTTTAGTCTTTTTTGTTCTTGTACATGTATTTCTATATTATTTGTTGTATGTTTTCAAAGCTAAGTAAAATCTGATTGCTGACAAAATACTTCCATTAACAAGTTCTTCTTTTCTTTAGGATGACTGAGGAGCTTTTCATAATCCTACAGCAGCAGGACAGAAGCTTCTCAAGAAGTCATTACAAAAACAATGTAAGAAAAGGTATGCAGTAGGGTATCTCCAGCAATCTGGAGTTCACAACATAATTCTCTCTTTCTCTTGTGGTTCATATTTCAACCACTGCCATACATACTCCGTTATTACACCATCAGAACAAGCAACAGAAAGATAAAAAGATTTTATATAAGTAGCAGGGAACACTATTAAAGAATCATTTTTTGTTTATCAACTATCTTAATATTTAAACCAATAACTGTGAGATAAAGTAGCTTAAGTAACCACCATATGTACTATAGCCTATCATCTCTTCTCTATCCCCTGCTGAAATGATTTTATATGGAATAAAGATCATGAGGCTTTCAACTTGAAAAATCAGTGTTTCTCATACCTTTTGTTTGATGATCATGTCGTTGATATCATCAAGATCTCCTACTGTCACTCTCTGAGCTTTAATCTCTCGATCCAGTTGAGAAAGCCAGTCAGTGAGTTCTGCCCATGCCTTATTGAAGTCAGCTAAGGCTGGAACCTCCAAAAGCACAGAAGATGGCATTTCTGGTGTGAAGCTGGTGGTTTCCTTGGTTACCCCGGTTTGTGTATCCACAGCAACAGTTTGACCAGAAGTTACTGAAAAAAAAAATAAAAGATTACTGAATAAATGAATTATCATGTTTATTTCAGAAACAGAATTTATGCATTAGAAAGGGTTATACAGGAATAACCTCGCTGCTTTGCTATTATGTTTACTGGAAATATGAAAATTAAAATTAAATGAATATATGAATTCATTTTTCCTTAGTATTCCTATTATACTATATCTTTAACATTCAGCAATCTCAGCAGATTTGAATTTCATCTTGGGTCTTAGTAACACAAAAAAACGTATCTCAATATAATGAGAACACTCACTCAAGGTCATTGTAGAATCTCTAAACATGACTCATCTTCCAGAATCTAGCAGTGGGGTTGAGTAGGCTGTAGTATCTAGTTTATCACAGCACGACCACGTATCTAGAAACACGTTTCCTCTACGTTCTCCAGCTACCCTGTAGCTATGAATTTGTCTCAGTGACAATCTTCTCACTTTCTGTTATTAGTCAGTATTTCCCATAGGCTCTGTGACTGACTTTCGCTTTCACAAAAAATTCAGCCTTGGACAATTCTCCCACAGTAAAATCATGTGTTATAATGTGAAAATTAGTTAAATTTCTTCCTTCTGTTTGAAGAAAATGGGCACACTTTTGTGCCCTTTCTTGATTTAAAATAGCTGGATTTTAAAGAATCAGTGGATTATTCTGTGCTTGGTTTGAGATGCTAAACCAACTAGAAATGAAGAGTCTGAATACCTACTTCTTGATGTAGTTTCTATCTGAATCAACTATCTAAACAACACAACTACACATGAAAAGCTGAAAAAAAGCAGTGCAGAGTGCCATCTGCATAAAGAGACCATGAGTCTTCTAACACCAAACTGCAAAACGTGGTTATGTTCATGTTTTATGGTTATGAACATGGTTCACCTGTGTTTTTCCAGTCTCTTTACAGAGTAGAGAGAACCAATTTCCTGTTAGATGGTCCTTAAGATGAGGAAAAAAAGAAAACAAACAAAAAAAAGCATTTGCCCATACACAGTAAAGAGGTTTGGGCTTTTTTCCCCCCCCCCCCCCTTTTTTTTTTTTTTTTTCCTTTTATGCCATTCAGCAAAGTACGTCTGAAGTCGAAAACTGGAAGCAGCAGGCAAAGATTCAATAGTTCAGCCATAAAATTAAAATAGTAAATCAGCAGCATCAACCACTCTTGCCAAGAAATTTAGCACATCTTTTTCAATGATAAAAGGTTTGAGTTACTTTACCGAGGAATCATTGATCCTTTTCAGCAAGGCAAAAAGAGAAAGAGCTGTGCACAAGTATCAAAATGATTGTCACTAAAAGCAATGTAAGATGCTCTCAGCATTAAAAATGCTGCGTGATTATAAACAATTTACCAAATCAACTAACATCTGTGTTATTTATCCAGCCTGAATAAAGAGCAATATTATGATAACCAAAGGTGACTCCTGAAAGTGGTGATTTTTAATGGCATATACTGCAATTAAATAAATTTATCCTCCCACTCATATCATTGCTGTATTTCTGAAGTGCAACCTTGTACTTTATCTATTTGTGCTTTAAAGTCACATACCTGTGAAAAACTATGAAATGTACTAACTACTATAAAGAACATTTCTAAGGAAATTCACACAAGCAGATGAGAAAATGCATATGTATGTATTTCCTGACATAGAAAGAGGCTTGTAAAGTGTTCATTCTTTTGTAACACTCCACTGTTTACTATGACAGACTATCTCGTACAGTTATAGAGTGGCAGTTTTTAATACCTAGAAAAACCCGCCACAATCCTAAAGGATGACCTTTCTTTCCAACTTCATTTCTTTTTTTTAGACTTTTGTACAAACTTGTAAAAAATTACTAAATTGTATTCATCAATTGTTTGGGTTTTTTTCCATCTCTGTTGCAATTACTCTAGATATGTTATGCCCCATATTAACACTTCTTACCTAAATGATGTAAATGGAAGCATACATTACAACAAGGTGATCAAGGGATTCACCAAGATGATGAAGGACTGGAGTACCAGTCCTATAAAGAGAGGCCAAGGGAGTTGTGACTGCCCAGCCTGGAGAAGAGGAGGCTCAGGGAAATCTCACCAATTTTTGTAAATCTCTGCATAGAGGGTGCAAAGAGCATGCAAAGAGCATGGAGCCAGGCTCTTTTCAGTGGTGCCCAGAGCCAGGAGAAGAAGCAGTAGGAATAAACTGGAACATGGGGGGTTCCCTCTGAACATCAGGAAGCACTCCTGTGAGGGTGATGGAGTACTGGCACAGCTGCCCATAGAGGTTTTGTCATTTTCTCCTTGGAGATCTTCTGAAGCCACTTAGACATGGTCCTGGGCACACTGCTCTGGGTGTCCACTCTTGAGCAGGTGTTGGGCCAGATGACCTCCAGAGGTCTCTTCCAGCCTCAGCCACACTGGGATTACTCAATGCCTCAAAATGACTCCTGGTGTAGGTAAATTGTTGACAGTACTTATGTATCACTTTGCCCATCTGAGAACCATTCTTTGTCTTCTTGCTCAAAGCTTGCTTCCTGAGGTATTTCTTGTGATAAGATTCTAACTGACTTATTGAGAAGGTAAGTGATGGGTGCTACTGGATGGGAAAATTGGGGAATGATACCATCATGTCCTGTGAAAACAGATTGCAAGTGGGAATCCTTGCTCCCTCTTACCTGCTGGCAAGGCCTGGAAGATGGGAACAAAGGAGTTTCTGCTGAGATCCCAGTGCCAGAATCTGACCGTACAAGGAGAACTGACTCAAACACTTTGGATTTGAGCTGTCACTCCAAAGGCAGCTGACTCAACCACTTTGGGCTTATAAATAAGTTGGTACCATTGAAAAGTTGTTATCATCAACAGAAAAACACCCGATGACCCACCACTACTGAAGATCAGTGACTGAACTACGAATCATGCTGGATCCATGGTGGTGACTATTTCCCTCTTGCTTCCTACAAAGACACCTTCCCTCTATTTCCTATCTTTTCTATCGCCCTTCTCCCCTTCCCCATCTCCCTGATTAAGATCTGTAATAAACTGGTTGGACCAACATTTGAACCACTGCTTCTTAATCTCATGCCAGGTATATAAAAGAGCCTCCTCTCCCTCCTACAAATTGGAGTAAGACAGCCCATTGCTGTTGCCACCAGGCAGGAGGGAGTCCATGCACAGAAAGCGATGTACTGAGCCTGCTGTTCAATATTTGACACGACTGGCTGAGGGTATGGCTTTGAGCTGGGGACTTAGCTCACTGCAAAAGTTCTAGCTCACGGTTAAAAGTCTATATCTTCAGGTTCATGACCCTTCCATTCAGCCCTTGTTCCCTGTTTTGGAGCAGATCAGAGAGGAGATATTTCAGCAGTGAATGGTGATTGGCACTTTTGGCAACAGACATGATATTTCCCGTCCTTCTCCCTATGGCAGCAATACATCATAGCTTTCCTTTGGCTGTCAGCAGATGAAGGAGGACAGAGTTTGGCAACTACTGCTGCAGAGGAGTAGAAAGGGAAAGAAAAGATCACAGCTTCCTCCTAAAACAGCAGATCACAAATGGCTCCAAAAAATGGATGGTCCCGTATTGTTGCAACTTTAGGCCATCAAAGGTAACATTAAAAACAAACCCACATCAAGCAGAAAAGATGAGGAAGGTAGGAACTCTATATTAAGACTTGTAAGATGAGAAATGAAAGAAAGCTACATAATGTTCTTTTAAGACAAGGGGAACTTACAATAGAGTTACTTTTCACATTCAGACAAATAAGAACTATTTAATTGATAGATTTGGTATTATGTTCACTTTGCTAATGTACGCTGAAGCTAGAAAAAGATATCAACATTAAAGAAGTGTTATAATTAGTTACTTATTTGGTAACTGAGTAAATTTTGACTGAGTTGGTACTTAGAGCCTGAAAACTGCAATGGTGTGAAATGACTCCAAACAGTATCAGAGCAAATAAACAAATAAATAAAAATTCTCTTTCCTTTCATTGCTCTACCCAGAAATAAGGTGAGTTCAAAAAGGGCCAAGAAATAATACCTAATATTGTCACATGTAGAGTAAGTACCTCTACAAATACAGTGCATGCAGTTTACCAACACTGCTTTGGTTGTACTCTTTTAATGTTTACAATCAGAAGGCTATTGAATGTTTCATCTTTGTTCTGTGGATGAAGAAAATGGCACAGAAGGCTTTAAGCAAGTCTGTCTTTGAAGAATATCATTTATTACCTTCAGGTAATAAGTGTCTTCGTGCCTTCCTTTCTCTGGACTGGATACTAACAATCTACCTGGACATTACTATACATTCAAGACACAAATTCACAGGATTTTCTCTGTTCTCTCACTCCTGTATGGGATTTCAACTCCACACATCAGTCATGATTTCATGCAACAACTCCGAAACGTCATCTGATTACATCCTCTCCCCACATGAGCTCCATAATACTCAGTAGGTCACACTGATTCAGAAAAAGTCTTGCAATTTTCACCAAGCCATTCCACATCATGGTCAAGACGTGCAATTACTGAAAAACATAGCTGAGTGTTTAATTCAGAACTTTACCAAAGCAGTTAAGTGTTAAAAGCATGCCATGTGTTAATTTCCAGTCTCTACCAAGGGATGGATGCTTAGGTCCAGTTCCATCTGGCTACACGTTCACACAAATGCCTTGTATTTCTACAGTGGCTCCAGAGGCTCTTAGAAAATGAGAACAGTCACTTAGTTTGGCATTTACATAGGTTACATAGATGTTGTCTTATCTCAGAAGAAATTCCTATTCTCACTATTATTTCAGGAAGATCAAAGAAAATCTTTCTAAAGAGCTCTACAGACCCTCTGTAAGTAAACACAGGATGTCAGATAAGACAGCCTGGTATCTCTTAGCTTCTTACATATTTTGGCCTGAGAATACACTGAGTTTGCTAATATATATTCATATATATATACACACATACCTTTCTTCCTTGGAATGGCAGCTATTCCAGAAGAAACTATTCCTAACCTTCTAGTATAT